AATGGGCAAATATTCTCCCCCAGCTTCTGTTAAACCTGTCTCACAGAAAGGCACAGTAGGAATTGGTGTAGAAAAGTCCTGAATTGGCTAATACAATATTTACAACGGCATTCTGGGACAAATCTATCTCCAGCAACAGACTGAATTGCCAGAATATGACTTCTGGATCTCTTCCAAAATACCATCTCCAACAAGTCAATATTCCAGATGAAGAAATGCATGCACACCCATTCTCATTAAAATATAGCGCTGGTAGACATCTTCTGAATGGCCCCAATCTAAGAGACAAAATCTGAATTATTTTTTCCCCTTTATAAAACATGTATAATTTCCATAATTGTGACTGACAGTGCTGCATCAAGGAGGTGCAAAATTCCATCTTCCTCTCGGAGGACCACGAGAGCCCTCGGAGAGCCCTCTGAACTGTCCTTCCCCAGTTTCAAAATGAAATCACCAAGATCCAGGATGAACGTGAGCAGTCCTGCCTTTTTGACTCACGAGGAGACCAGGTGCAATGAGAAGAATGTGATGCCCAGCATCGGCAGCGTGAAGATGTGAAGAGTTCTCTTGAAACAGCACGGAAAAATGTAACATGCCTCATCAAAGCAACGGTGTAAGCTACACTGCGAGTGCGAGAGAAGAAAAGTCCTAATAAGAGGCCTGTCCTTTCAAATCAGGCAGTAGCACCAAAGCATAGCAGCAGTGATCTGGAACTGACTCTGGACGTCCTCCGAGGTCTGTCTTTTATTCAAAGTGATATCTAGACCCACACATCGTATTTACTAGAATTTTCAAAGAGGGCGGGATGACAGTGGAAACCAGATGGTGGATGTCAGCTGCAAGAAGACCCCTACGCAAACAAGCTGTCTTGGCCAGCAGTGCTGTAAGGAAAGCAGGACTGCAGTTCTGACCACTTGCATTTCCTTCAGGCCTGGAGAAGGATGACAGCCAGAAGAAAAGAAGATGCACCGTAGCAGCAAAGAGTTTCGACAGTGCGTTAGGTCACCCGAAACTCCACCATGAAACGGTTTGTTATTACTGTATCCAGGCTCTAAGATGACAGTTAGGAGGCTTTTGATGAAAATTGCGAATGGGAGTTGAAAGCTAAAAGGAAATCACAAGTTTGATTCCAAGTTTCATAAAAACGTGGTATTTTGAAACCTGCAAACCCAAGGCATTGTACATGTTAGCTCAGTAAACAACAGTCCTTAATAATCAGAAGCTCTTAAGAGTAAAAGTAGAATGAAAAAAAGATGAAGGAGTTAGACTAAAAGCCATAAAAGCCTAAGTGAACGCCGGCTTCCAGCTCCTGCAGACGCAGACGTCTGCGAAAAGTTCTTTTGCCAGTTGTTGAGAAAAAGGAACCGTCTTTGTAATGCAGTGAGAAGACCTAATATCCAGAATACTGAAAAAGTAGATCTATTGTT